TATGAAAATTAACGATTAAGGCATTTCTAAGGTTCATACCAATACCGTCCTTTGATGGCTTCATGATGATATGTCTACTGATTCCATAGTTGGCAGTATAAGAAACAAGAAAAGTTTCGATCGATCTGCATTGGTCATCGTCAGGGAATATTTCCAAATTTGCATTGGTGGAAACGCTGAAATTCTTATATATGAAATTCATTTGTTTCTCATGCTGCCAACCATCGAATCAGATGATCTATCATTTTATCAATTAAAACTTTATGGAATTAATATATATAGCACCCAAGAAAGGGGTGACATACGGCTATATTATTTTGACGTTTCTGTCGATCATTAAGAAATGACAATAAACCGTGGTGCTCTGGGTTTGCTACTAAACTGTTAGTTTTTTAATTCCGCTGCTAAAAATAATAATCATCTCTAAATTCTGCAGATTCGCACGGCATGGATCGTCATTCCGCCTGGCGGTATTCACAACTGGCAGCTGGCCAGCAAAATCACACGCGATGGTGTATTTTTATAGCACTTTCTTATGGACACTGTTTCGACAAGTCACAAATAGGATAACACCTCATAAATCTTTAAATCAACGTCGTACGGAGATCTTACATTCTGGACCAACCTCGGTCCCTCATCGGAAAAATAACGAGGTTCCTACAAGGCGTCATTTTGCAGCAGATGGGACTAATCCACATTAATTAATGGTACCACATTTGTCGTTAGCGGATGGGGGCATAGCAGTCATATTCGACCCAGTGTAGTGATGCAGTTTTGCGCCTATGCACTGGGGATGCTAAAATACAGTGTTACCATGGCCCATTTAAACAGTGCCCTAGCTACTAGAAGCAAAGGAGCGGTGTATAAATCCAGAAAATCGGCAGAAGAGCATGACTGATCATTAATGAGGGATACTGATGAGTCAAAGGAAGGAGAAAAAATGCACAAACCTAATCGTGCGGAACAAAATTCAAAATTCGAAACTACCTTTGTATTTGAACGAAGAAGTCTTCGATCAACAGTGCTGACGTACCGATGCAAAACATCGACCCTAAATATGAAAACTCCTCACCAGGCTTACAGGCTAGAAAAGTGTACCTTGGCAATAACAAGATGAAATGAGAAAATGAACGGATAATATCACGAAAAATATTTTCAATGTCATTGTAGGAGCGTGGAAGTTGACACTGAGGGAGGGCAGGAAAATTGCGAAAAGAACCAATTATTGAGTCACCAAAAGGTGATTGGATTAAGTTGTAATAATCAATAAACTGTCGAAGGGAAGACCTTCAGAAAAATGGCACAAACGAGCTCAAAAAATTTATTGCTGGAGCGTATAACGTGGATAAGTATCGCAGATGACAGAACTTTAAAGCAAAATGCTGGATAAGTCTTCATCGAGCATTGGATCGAAAAGAGTGATGACAGTGATTGATACACAATCGTTTCATGCTGTCATTCTTTGCATCGTATTTACTACATTTGAATACATTTATCTAACTATGAAGTAGCTGATTATCAAGTGCCAAAATTTATCGTTTTGCACATTACCATTCAGAGCGATAATCTGTATACACTAGTATGCTCTGAAAATGATTCACTGTTCAATTCAAACTAATAATCTATACCTCATGATTACTGTCTAGGCCTCAGACTGAATCTGTGGCAAAATGCCCATTTAAGCCTGCAGAAAACAATAGAGAGAAGGCTTAGCGATAATGTAGTGAAACAGAGATGTAATAGCGAATGAATTTCAATTCAATGCAAGTACAGCTATGATTTGAAATGTTAGTCCATATCTGCATATAATAGGCCATACTGCTATGGCCGGAATGCCTCTCTGCCTTGCAATGTATATCAACTAAGATGCTATATACTGAACAAGCTGCCAATGTGATTTACTTGTATGAATTACTCTGCTGACGCGTCAATCTCTCAGTTGCAGGATCGTGCTTATCGTAATTAAATGGTTTGGATGTGACAGATCAACATTATAAATATTTGATTATTTTAATATCACTTCAATTTTGATTAATCTATCCCACATTGAGTGGTTTACTGCACCTTTATATTTTCATTCAACGTGCACTTACGCATTATATCTTTAAGGTTGAAATATAATATTGGAAAGGTAAGTGAAGTTCTTCCTAACTTATTAAACTGCTTTGGAAGGAAACAGTGACAAATAGTCTGTATTCTACGTCGTACTATGCATTTAATACGAACCACAAGTTACAGAATGACTAACAAAAAAAACTACTCAGTAAATAGTAAAATAGTGTAGGCTGATGACAGCATCAGTGCACTGCCGCCAAAGATGTCAGTTTTAATGGTGACATTAAAGTAGCGTTACAATGATGAAGTAATAATCACCGCAAATTTTATACTATCATAATTATTAAGAACTTTGGACCATTTTGGTAGTATCCACTGTGGACGTACTTAATTAATCACCATTATAATTGAGATAAAAAGCATAATTTGCTTTTCGAAAGATTATTAATCGTCACTGTGATACTTCGAAATACAAACCTGATTTTCCGTTAACGACAACGATGTGGCGATCTCGTATCGCTGGGGTCTCGAAAGATACTTGTGTTGTTTAAATTTTAGTTCTAATTCCAGCAGCTGATGACTAGTAAATGAAGTTCGAGGCCTCCTCGACTTGTTCAGAAAGGTTGAACCTGCAAAGGGTTAGAATAACACCAAGTTTAGAAAAAGAATAATGATACAACAAATTGAACCGGTACGAACCAAAACATATTATACATATTTTAAAAACAACTCTCTCATTTTTTTGCTTAAATGAATCTGTTTTGCGTCTGCTGTTATAACACAAATAATGTTTTTAAGGTTTAAAGTTTACATGTACACAGCAGGAACCTAAGGTATTAATAGCAATATCAAATAATCATAATCTCAACTTTCGCTCACTTGTGCACAATTTAGACCGGTGTATACACTTATCCACGATCTACGCTTATTGCCCTGTATCGGGGTGCCCTTCGCGGTTTGAACTAGATTTTGCTCCATCCGTTACATCAAAATTCGCGTATTATCCACTTTTGTTCATCTCATTATAATATTTGTATGCTAACGTAAATTATTTGCGATAAGACTAGATTAATTAATGTCAACAAACAATGATGCAAATCAAGATCAGGGGCTACGACTTGGCAATGAGACGCATCTCATTTTTTGCTCATTAATCAGTTCCCTTTCCGCTATGTTTAATTTCCTGACTCAGTTCTTGAATATTTTCACTGGATAAAAAGTGATGCTCAAAATCTGTGCACCTAGTTTGTCGTATTATATCCTTGTTGCTGTAATTCTCATTAAAGGCAATAGCTCAGAGATTGGATGAATCCATGGTACAGGAGAAAATCCCTCGTTTCGTAAATCAGAGGTGTGGATTGGAATCCCTGCGATGCTTGTAATTTCGAATTTCCCTGAATAATGAATTTACCGACCCTGCTTCAACAATGTAATTGGCCAAGAACAGATAGCAAGTCAATGAGCTGCATTCTGTCATGGTGTTCCTATTGTTGTTACTATTGTCATTACCACTGGTTTGAGTCCAGACGGCTCAAATGAGCTACAAGTTCGCCCCTTTCCACCTTTGTCGATCATCTGTGGTGTCCGTCATGAAGCTCAGCCTGTCTTTCGTCCACCGTTTCTACCGTACACCACCGACTTTGATATAAGGTCAACATGTGACACTGGTCCATCAGGTCTTAACGTTGACCCCTCGTTCTGATGCGACCCAGGGATCGGGGTAGTGTTCAGTGCTAAATAGTTGATTTCGTCTGGTGAAGGTCTTAGGGCGTGCCCAAGCTAAGACATCAGCTCTTCTTCCAAGACAGTAGAGAGCTGAATGATTTTACTACGGGTACGAACTGTGACGCTGCATGTCCGTTTGATAAATCACTTCCGCAATGTGGCTCGTAAACACAAGTGGAAGAAGTCCTCCAGCTTCTTCATGTCTTGACTCTTAGGTCCTAGCTCTCATAAAATAAGATTAGCGTCTAGCGGTTTGCAGAACTCGACACTCATTCTTCTGATTGATCTCCCATCTTTTCCACAGCGGCCGCAGAGTCGGAAGAAAGAACGCTGCTACCAGCCTAGCCAAAATTTCATTTTAGGCTGTCCATCGTTAAGGATGAGAGAGCCATGGTTCTGGTTTGATTTTAGTACAATGGAGGAGACTGACAGCAAAGCTGCCTGATGCTAATGCAATTCATTCTGACCTATCTGATAGCTAAATACCTCAGCATAAATTGTAAATGGTAAAAAATAAAATTTACACGTTTTTACGCATGAAGGAAGATTCGTGCAACATGACTATGTCTAACAGGGCTAACACGTTCGAAACAATATTTCGAATTTGAGCTACACATCGTCCACCGTGGCGGCAAAAGTCACGGGAGCAAATCTGCCTCATAGAGACGTGTTTTCTCATGGATGAGTTTCAGTAATTTCCAGTTATCAGGATCATCTTGATCCAAGGCTTAATCCGGACAATCAGTTCCCTGTTTGGTAATACTTTTACCAGAATGTACTTATACCGGAATCTATCTGTTTCATATGTGGTGTGTATCAGCCCAACGATCGACGTCTGTTTTCGCTGACCTGTGTCAAGACAGACCACCTATACAACTTTACTCTAAATGACCTTGGCCTTCGTCCTCGAGTTGTATAGAAGATCGGTGGGGCGTTGAAAAGCAATTTATTTTCTCGCACCTTTGCCTCAGATGGCGATTACGTACTCTTGTTTCAGTTGAACCAACGGCTGGAGGAACATCGCCGAAGACGGCAAAAAAAGTTGAGAAAGATTGACCGGAAAATGATTCAGCGATAAGCAGATATTAATATTTTCTGGCGTGACATACGACGAGATTAGATTTGGGGCGGCGGCAGAGTACTGTCGCTCAAGGACCCCTTGGGCCAAGCAGGACGCATCGTCGTGACTTCATATAAATCCGAATTTCGCCCCCTGCCAGATGTTGACAATTCATTTTGCGGCGACAATTGAATTTCGGCTTTCTCGAAGGCGCAAAAAACGCCCTCTGGCGCGACACGTCAGCGTTTCTTACGGTAATTTGCTATCAATGGGCGATGATGAAATTTCCGATCACGATGGCGCCGCGGCCACCGTCTCTGCTTCACCGTTTGATGCTGGACGTACGTTGGCAATCGCTCAGGGTCTAGAGTTCGGGTCCGTTTCCGTTGACGCCTTCCATCGAAGGTCGGCGCCAGGACCACCACCTCGACAACGCAACGAATCGATAAACCCCAGCCAATCGCCATTTGTTCTTATTTAAGATCATAATTACCCTTCGGGTCGTCTTGGAACCGGCAGAATCGAGCACAGCCGACGGACAAACGACTTGTTGCCATCAGCGACCTTAATTGCGCAATCTGTCGTTACACCCTTGACGCCACTCTCTCCGGGACCGATTCGACTAACGTTCGGCAACATTTACCGAATTATTATTTAATTTATAACCGTATACTGTAGCCAATGCGGCCGTCTGCAACCGACCGCAAATTCTCTGCAAACGTACAACGGTATCATCATACGTGAAACGGTATTCAAAACCCATCCATCGCAATTTGAAGATGCAAGGTTATGAAACTCCATTTCTACTGTTACAACAGTCGATAATTTTAGTTAGAACATTTTTTTGCTTGGTTCACGTCCTTCTCAACGAGAATCCTGGCGAAGGGCGGGGGGGGGTGTCGAACAGAGTGACATCTGTGAAGCAGCCACAGATTTTCCTGTACCTCGTAGCAGATAAACGTAACAGGTGTCGATGACCTGTTCTGCTAGCGCAATCCACGCTGCGTTACGATCGAGAGTGTCGAACTCTTTCTTGCAGTCCACAAAGGCTCTGCACACAGGGGACTGGATTTTCCTCATGCGTTTGAGGCTGGACTTAAGATCAAAACGCTATCCGTTGTGCTATAGTTCCGTTGGAATCCTGCCTGTATTTTTGGCTGCTAGTGTTGATCTTAATGAGCAGCTTGTAAGCTTCGGAGAGCCAGCAGATTTGGATGTAATTTTTTATTCACGAACTTCTTGATATCACGATAATTTTTTTGCACATTCCATCTCACTGATATCTGTTCCGTTTCCAGGTACCGAATGAACCTCTTCGCTAAAGTATTCAACAGAGTCTGACCATCTGCTTTAAGCATTTCAGCTGCGAGGACGTCTTTCCATCGTGCTCTTCATTTCCTCATTTGATTCATAGCATATCGAATTTTTTTTATGAGGAGCGACAGTGTACTCACATTTAACACTTAGAGCGATTGTGGAGGACGCGTACCTTTGACTGCGAATAGACTGTCAGTTCATCTCAGTTTTGTCAAACATTAATTTACCGTACCCCTTCTTCAACGCCGTAACAGTCGACGGATAAAACGCTAATTCTGCCCTGCGTTTTCTGAGCGTCTGTACCCTTTGACTGTTTTCTTCAATTTTCGCAGTCAGAAGATTTCAAAGTCCTCCTCTAGCTTCCGTCTGATCAGCTTGCAAAGAAGAGAATACTCCACTACGTCGGTCCCATCTCATTTCATCTCAATTCATCCTCCTCTGCTTCTCTAGCATCTCTTTGTCTCTTCTGAGATCCTTCCTTTTGATCTCTTTGCAGTTACCACTTCAGTTGAATTAACGCAGTGTCTCGACTTCTCATCGAACATACGGTATTCGTCGTCGCAGCTGCCTTTGAGACTCCGGTCATCGCTGGAAATGCACTCTTGGAGTTCCGCTTTATCGAATACCTTCGGTTGCTGTCTACGATTTGCCATCTACAGTACCATTTTGTCGTTCCGCTTCTCGAAGATTAGCCTACCAGTTTGTGGCCACTACCCGGCGTTGAATGATGCCATGACTGCTATAATTCGACGATGTGGAGTTAATCGAAAAGCACGAAGTCCATCTCGTTTTTCATCGCCGCGTTGGACGTGATCCATGCCCACCTCATGCCAGTCTTCCTCGTAAAACATGTGTTGCCAATGGGCAGGTGTTTTGTAAGTGCCATGGTCACGGCCGATCTCCTAGTTCACTTTGTTCCCCGCTGCCTTACCTTATGACTAATGCTTCATCGGCTCTTCTTTGCCTGGCATCGTCTCCCATAACGAAGGCATTCGTGGAGTTCTGGACGTTTTCAATTCCAGCTTCAGTTCTTGATAGAAATCTTTCGCTGTTTCATAATCAACTGTACTTCTGGAAGCATACGTTCGGACGATCTTCAAGGTCATCTTCCTGTTCATTTAGAGGAACAGGGTGCCAAATCTTGGTAACTTCACATGGCAGCAGGCGATTTTGGGGGCCACTTTTGGCTGATTATGCATTAGAAATTTTCTTTTTCCGCGCCCATATCCGCAAACGTTTTCAGTGCCACTTTAGGAATGGTTTTCCGGAAATGAACTGGAAGGGTGGGATTAATTGCAAAGCTAAACAGTATCACGTAAGGTTCCTGATGACGTGGTGTTGTTTGTGGTAAACTTCAGTCAACTAGAAGATATGTTGCAAGAACTCGAAAGAAACATTGCGCAAATCTGACTGCAATCAAACAGCCAGAGACAATGATACTGTGATGGGCTGTTTTGGCGAAACCCACGGTAGTATTAATGGGTAAGAAAACCGAAAAAGTCCATTTTCCTGGGTCATGAGATGAACGTACAGTACGGTCAGGCTGGAGAGATTCAAAGAAGAATGAAAGACGGTTCACACGATTTCCTTTTCATCAAGCACGTCCTCCTAAGCAACTTCAGGAAAGAAACCCACTCCAAACTCTTTAACTCGACCGTCTTACCGGCAGCTTTATGTATGTAAGACGTGGTCACCCATTAAAGGAAAACAACGGCAGCTATCTGTCACTGAAAAAGCCATAGAAAAAAATATTGGTAATTTCATGTCGCGATCACACCCCCAACACCGTGATCAAACAGCAAGTGAAAGTATTGATCAAAATACAATGCACTGGTTATCCAATTCTCTGTCTTACTGCAAACAGGAAAACAGGAGCAAATCTTTTTCTGCACTAAAAACTTAGGAATTCTGCAGAGATTTGCCTTCTTTCCACTTATCTTTATAACATACACTAGAATGAAAGGCTGCTCTCCCAGTAAATGCATATAACATGCCGATAATACCTTGATATTGAATGCAGTTGCAATGGCACTCTTGCACAGTCACTTCTATTCACGACTGGTCATTGGAAATGGCTAATTCATAAATCATAGCAAATCAGACAGCCAGTCAGGCAGTTTCGATGACTGCACGTCGATCTGGGTAGAGGAGCAGACTCATCAGACACTGTTTCCAACGTTCTCGTTCCTCTTCCAGATTCTCAGCTTTGGCGGAAGATAAACTGAACCTGTTAATATATTTGTCCCACGTCATTCGTACCCATTCCCAGGGTCTACGGAACTCTCGTTAGGCACTTGATACCTGCATTGTCT